ATATGGTGGTCTAGGCTTCATTTGTCATTGTTGCTTTGAACAGAGGGGTATTCAAGTGTTTGGTTGTCAAGAGTTTTCCTCTGAACTGACTACTTCAAGGTACGTTCAGCTTTAATCTTACCTTTTCACTTTTAAACTTTTCTTCATGGCCGATTCCATTGAGTGGGAGGATTCCTTGTCAAATACTTCAAGGTCGACTAATGTCGAAGTAGAAGTTGTAGATGACACCAAGAGGGGTGCTGAAATTTCTTCAATGCCGAGTAGGGTGGATGAAGAAGTAATAAGGGTCAATATTAGGGAATGTAATGACGAAACCGAATCATATGGTTCTACTGATTCTGAGTCTACCGAACTCCTTCCAAGTATTAGCCCTCCTAGGGAAAGACCAATTTTTCCTCCATGTATGATCCCTGGATACGAATGGGTCCACGGTGAAGTGGCAGCCTAATTTTTTCACTTTAAGAAAAATATGAGTCTTCAACTTTTTGTAGACCACTGTGATTTTTCAATGTGGGAGGGTTCGGATCCATACCCAATTATTCTCAGTACATGCCAGGGAGACGAAACCGAGAACCCTAACTTTGTTTTTTTAGGGGGTGCCGGAATGGGCGACACCTTCTATGTGTATGAGTATATGTTTAGAGAATTAGGTATAAAGTTACCCTTTGACGACTTTCAAATGGGAGTACTGAGGGTTTTAAATGTAGTGCCAACACAACTTCATCCGAATGGGTGGGCGGCCATCCAAGCCTTTGTGTAAATTTCATTATATAGAACTTAGTGTAGGTTTATTTCTTCATCTCTTTTGTACTTGTCCTTCAAATTTAGCTAGGTGGGTATCCTTAATAAGGCAACCTAAATTGCCACTATTCAAGCCTTATGCTTCGTCTTTCAAGGGTTTCAAAACCGGTTACTTTAAAGTAATCGTGGACCTTGTTAGTAGAAATTACTTTTTTGATAATGAAGGTAATACATTTTTCCCTTTTCACTAGACTCGGGTACCTCGTTGATATGACATTTTACCCGAGGACCTTTTGTCGGCTGAAGAAATGTCGGCCCTGGAATACTTGAAGTCTCTTCCCCGAGAGCTTCCTGCCCAAGTCCTCATTCTCTTACAGAAGTCCCCTCATCCACGTCTGGATATGGATGGTATGACTCGTTTTCATAGTTTTAGTTTTTTGAATCAAATTGTATTGATTTGACTCTCTGTTTTTGTTGTAGGTTTAATGGCTCAAAAAGGAATGAGCATGCCAAACTATCGTCATGGTTTAAGAAGGCGAACCCTAGATGACGTGCCAATTGAAGATCATCGCCACCCCCATCTTAACAATGTTTCAGAGTTAACCGAGCCACGCCCTCCTCCCCAAGACTTTGTCCTGGATGAAAGCCAACCAAAAAGGCGAAAGAAGAAGGGTAAGGAAAAAGAAGGTGAGAGGGAGAAAAAGAGGAAGCACTCCCACTCGGCTGGGCCAACTGCTGCTGTTGGGATGCGTAAACATGCCTGTGTTGCCGGAACGGTTGGGGCCAGTAGCTCCTCAATTTCTATAATCCCTTCAGGGGTACTATGCGACTCCTTCTTAGCCGAAGGGGTTCATGTTGGACGAGTGGCGGCCCCTGACATATTTTCTGATGCGGAGAAAGACATTATCAATAACCTGGATCACAAGTCTTTGTGGCTATGTTATGTAGAGCTGCAAGCTCGATCCATAGGGATGCTCTGAAGGTTAGCTTTGGAACCTTTACTAGAGTTGGAGAAGGTTCAAAAAGCTAAGCAAGAGAGTGAGGCGGCCATATCTGCCCTTGCCGAGACCATCAAGGCTCTGGAGACCGAGGTTGTCCAAATTAAAGAAAGTTACAGCATGACGGAGCATCGGTTACAGAACACTGAGGAGGCTCTAAGGGCCAAGAATGTAGAAGTAGAAGTTTTAAGGGCAAAGTCTTTGGAGACGGAGGAGTGCTTAAAAAACAAATCTCTTGAAATGGAGGAGGCCCTAACTCGGGAAAGCCAAAAAGTTAAGGCCGAGATGAAGGCATTTTCAGACCATTGTTCTGACAAGATTTTTGTCTAGCATGAAGCTGGCTTTAATCATGTCGTGCGCCAATGCTACGAATTTTGCCAAGTACCAACCGATTTCTATTTTGATTTAACCAAAGACTTTTTCGGTAAAAAGTTTCTACCATATAATGACGTGGACGATGATGTAGAACCTGATGCTGAAGCCCCCAGCCGAGCTCCAACAACTGACAATGCCCCTAGTCCTGATGCCAGGGTTGAGGGAAATTATTCTTCATTTTGTAATTTTTCTTTCTTTGTTCTTGGGCCAATAATGCCTAGATTTTTGTAATGTCTTGGTAAATGAATACTAAATTTTTCCTTTTATGCTTTGTCTCGCTCTTAACTGATTACTATTGTATCCTTCTATAAAATGATGGCTTCACTTTTAACAAGTGCATCGTTCTTGACTGAGTAGGGGTACTCAGAAGGAATTAGTTCAACCTTGACCAAGTTAGGAGACTTGGGAGGGAATTTAATAGTAGTCATTCTTGACCGAGTAGAGGATACTCGGGAGGGAATTAATTCAACCTTAGCCTAGTACTTGGGAGGAAATTTTTAATAAATCATCTTTGACCAAGTAGGGGGGTACTTGGGAGGAAATTAATTAATTCAACCTTAGCCAAGTACTTAGGAGGGAATTGTAATAATGATTCATCCTTGGCCAAGTAGGGGTACTTGGGAGGGAATTAATTAATTCAACCTTAGCCAAGTAAAAGTACTTGGGAGGGAATTGTAAATGATTTGTCCTTGGCCGAGTAGGGGTACTCGGGAGGAAATTAATTAATTCAACCTTAGCCAAGTAAAAGTACTTGGGAGGAAATTGTAAATGATTCATCCTTGGCCGAGTAGGGGTACTCCGGAGGGAATTAATTAATTTAACCTTAGCCAAGTAAAAGTACTTAGGAGGGAATTGTAAATGATTCATCCTTGGCCGAGTAGGGGTACTCGAAAGGAGTTAATTAATTCAACCTTAGTCAAGTAAAAGTACTTGGGAGGGAATTGTAAATGATTCGTCCTTGGCCAAGTAGGAGTACTCGAGAGAGAGTTAATTAATTCAACCTTAGCCAAGTAAAAGTACTTGAGAGAGAATTGTAAATGATTCGTCCTTGGCTGAGTAGAGGTACTTGGGAGGGAATTAGATTTAAAATCCAGATAAACCAAATAGCTGCAAAATGTGCTTTATTGATAATGTGTCTCATTAAAAACTTTCCAGGAAAACCTCTTTTCACTTTCTTTTAAGAGGACAAAACCTGGGTAAAGAAACATGTACACTGATTACATATTACATGTATTTAACTGAAATAATGCTTTAAATGTGTACAATTCCATGTTCTCAGTATTGTCTTCCCTCCGAGTGTGTCTAGCTTGTATGCCCCATTGTCTAGTCGAGCCGTTATCCGAAAGGCAGTTCGATGTTCCTGTTAGGGAAACATTAGTCTTCAAGTCTCTGCTCTGAAGCAGTGATGTCCCTCTTACTATCGCTAACATGAGAAGGGTACCTGCAAAAGGCATTCCGATGCTGAAGTCAGGATTCGGTTCTAAACAATAAATGCTATTTAATAATAAAAAATTAACTCTTTACTTGTATTTCCTACCTTTCTTTTATAGGCATTGTTATGGGCTAATGAGCTTGCTGAGTTAGCCTTGCTTTGGCCCTTTACTTTAAAGTAGATAATGTCTTGATTATTATCCTTAATTGAGTTAATTACCTTCTAATCCTGACAAAAAATATTTGACCAAACTGAGCCGAATAAGTATTTAGTTTTCTTTTTCTATATGTGGGACCAAACAGTTCCCTGTCCAGTAAAATAATATATGTTCATTTTCTATATCAATAAAATTATATCTATTAGTATGATATGTGATAATATTATTATAACTAAGACTGGTAAATAAAAATAGCACGATTGAAAATACTCGTTCCACGTACATCATATACATCGATCAATTGATGCAGAGCGAGATTTTACTATTACATTATGCGATATACTTATATAAATTTAAAATTTATTGATTAAAATGGATTTAATTATTTATTATATAAGACAATCGTTTGCTGAATATTTTTTAAAAGAATATTGGAAGTTAAAAAGAACGTCATATTTTCACATATTCTTGACATATGTATTACAAAATTTTATATTTTTCAAAGATTTTATATTAATAATAACTAATTCATCGTTAAAGTGTTAATAAACGACAAATTTGTCTTCAATAGGAATTTCTTTGCCTCGTTTTGTATTAGCTTGATGGGGCTTAGACCCCCTTTTAAATTAAAAAAAAAAAAAAAACAATTTTCAAACTATATAGTTGATTCCAAGTTAGGACCTTATAACAACAAATTCTACATAACTTGATGAAAAGGGCAACTCAGTGTTTACCAATTGGTGCTAGAAATTGATATCAGCTTGAATTGAGAGTGCATGATCTGATGTTTGGATATCATTAAACTTAAATAATCTTTTGAGTTGCTCAAGGTTGAGTCAAATTGCTTGGATATCATTAAGTTGGACATCATGTTCGCAATGAGTTTATAAACTTATTGCCTAGATGCCGAAATATTTTTTAATTTATATGTTGATAAATTACTTTAATTTTTACTTCACTAAGCCGGCATGAAGAAAAGAAAAAGTGGGGTTTCACCGTTACATTTGGCGCCACTGTCACAGAAGGCCACGTAACTTTAAAGTAATCTCCACTGCAACGATGTATGGTCACTTCTCACCATCCAAAACTAGCCACGACACCACATCTTATATCAACAAACCATGTCGTACGATGTGGCAAAACCTTATAGGTTGGTCTTAGATACGACGAATAAAAGGTTTTGACTGGTTGGGTTGAAATTAGAGCCCACGAATTAGACCTGTTCAACCCACACGACCCAAATTTTAAATTTTAAGTTAAAAGTAAATTTAGACATTTTTAATTCGAAGGAATTGAACTTTATTGAATTTGGACATTTTTTACAAAGCCAAATTAGACTTGTGTTTTCTACTCGTAATGAGCCGATTCGAATACGTCAGCTTCTAGTTTAAAGTTGAAACTTGTAAGAATGAAGCACTACAGCACAAGTCAACCAAAACCGAGTGAAGACCCAACGATACAGGTCTCTCTCTCAAGAACCAAACAGAAAAGAAACACAACTGTTTCAACTTTCTACTTTCCTTTCTCTTTTCCGATAACATGCTTGTCCGATGACAAATGAGTAGAATCTTATATGATCTCACCCAATTGTTATTTTACTTTTCTCTTCTATTCCATCTAATTTTCCAGGGAATTCTGCTAACACTTGATTCTTGAACACTCAGGTTGGTTCTTGCATTTCTCTGCTATAGCATGTATATTATATTATAGTATTATTTGAATTTATTAAATTAAATGGTTGAAGGAAATATTTATTTTCTTGTTTTTGGACTTGTGAGTTCTGTTCTGCTATTCAGCTCACCCCAGTACAGCAGTTTGTGTCAATTGAGCATATTTCTCAGCTCACCAATGTCTTTGTTTCACTCATACATGGGTCAAGGTAGTTGTGAACTTGAGCTCCTTTAGATCTGAATCATTATATCAGATGAAAATTTATTTCATTATGCTTATATTGTGATACAAATATTAGAATAATTAATTAGATATTTGTTAATTTCACCACTGTTCTGGTCAGGTTTCTAGTTTTTATGCTTGATGGGAAAATGAGTTTTGGTTTTGAACAAACCTGAGTAATGAAATGGCGAGTGAATTATTAGTTCCTGCCTCAATTACCCCAGCATCTGAGTTACTTTCCCAGCCCATCTTAACTTTAGTTGATACTGTCAAAGCGGCCAATGAGGTTGTGATTCATAAGGAAAATTTTAAGAGATTTTCTATTCACTTGGACAATATCTCTTTTCTATTGAGGTCTTTATCAAAGGAAGATATACACAATCCCAAGAGCTTGGAAAATGCTACGGATGTTCTCAACCGTGAGGTTGGAGTTGCTAAGCACCTTGTTTTTGAGTGCAACAGTAGAAATAAACTTTATCTTTTAATCAATTCAAGAAAGATAGTTACACGCTTGAACTGTTGTACCAAAGATATAAGCCGAGCAGTGAGTCTCATCCCTTTGGCCTCATTGGACATTAACTCTGGTTTAAATCAACAGATAAGTGAGTTATGCCAGAAAATGTTAGGTGCTGATTATCAAATAGCAGAATTAGATGAGGAAATCTTGGAAAAAATTGAGATAGCAATACAAGAGGGAAATGTTGATAGGTCATATGCAAATCAGTTGCTAGCTTGTGTTGCAGATGCTATAGGGGTCCCTATGGAGCATGGTGCTTTGAAGAGAGAGTTTGAAGAGCTGAAAAATGAAATGGAAAATGCTAAGTCAAGGATAGATGTGGCTGAAGCTCTACATATGGAGCAGGTTATTGCAGTGTTTGGAAAGGCTGATTTAATAACTTCAGCACAAGAGAAGGAAAGCCAATATTTTGAAAAGAGAAATTCCTTGGGAAGGAGACCCTTGATGGCTCTTCAGTCTTTTTACTGTCCAATCTCTCTTGATATTATGGTGGACCCTGTGGAGACATCCTCTGGGAAGACATTTGAGAGAAGTGCAATAGAGAAGTGGATTGCTGAAGGGAAAAATCACTGTCCCTTGACCATGTTGCCTCTGGATACTTCAATCCTGAGGCCAAACAAAACTTTAAAACAGTCTATTCAAGAATGGAAGGACAGGAACACAATAATTACCATTTCTACCATCAAATCTGAACTTGAAACAAATGAAGACGAGGGAGTGCTTCAATCATTAGACAAATTGCAGGACCTATTCTTAGAAAGAGAGGTGCACCGAGAATGGTTTAAAATGGAGAATTACATTGCTGTTCTTATTGGACTTCTTGCTTCTAAAAATAGAGAAATAAGGAAGCGTGTTTTACTCATCCTCTCTTTATTTGCAATTGATAATGCAGAGAACAAGGTACCTCATAAATCCTTCTCATTTTTAACTATGCACAAGTTTGAATAGCTCTATGCAAAACTAAGAGAACAATATTGAGTTTGCATAATAAAGATACTGATATACTACTTTCTGGCAGGAGGATATTGCTAAAGTGGATAATGCACTTGGATCAATAGTTCGCTCACTTGCGCGTCAAATTGAGGAAAGCAAGTTAGCATTGGAGTTGCTGTTGGAGTTATCTAAATGTAAGATGGTGTGCAATCTCATAGGAAACATTCAAGGAAGCATACTTCTCCTGGTAACAATGTTAAAGAGTGATGATGTTGAAGCAACCAAAAATGCACATGAGCTGCTGGAGAACCTCTCTTTCCTTGATCAGAATGTTATAGAGATGGCAAAAGCAAATTATCTTAAGCCTTTACTGCTAAAACTTTCTACAGGTATTCCATAAATGAGACACACCCTCTGAATTTACAGTGATTTATGTCTTGATCACCAAAATTGTGTTTACTGCTTTTTTCCTTTTTCGGAGAAGGGGAAAGAGACTTGAATTTTAGTAGTTGACATTGATCTCGATACGGCTCTATGAAGTAAGATATAAATACAACATTTTTGGAACATACTTTAGAAAAAATGTTTTGTAACAAATATGAATTCACCCATCTCATTTATAGAATTATATATGCTTAATTGCTTGTGCTTATAGACAAAACTCTCTGAAATTGACAATGGTTACAAATGAAACTAAGTTTCCTATTATATTTCTTGTTTTGCTTCCTTTCTTAATGTGTATAAATTATCACGTCTGTTAAAAAAAGAAACTAGTGTGTGTAGAAATGTGCATTTGTCTACTGCACATAGATGTACAAAAAGAAGCGAAGACACATAAAAGCCAATGAAGTAAAGGTGGAAATACAACGGAGGTTTAACCTTTTGGTATAACTTTGATGCTGAAAATTGAACTATAAAACATGGAATTTATTCCTAAAATGAACAAAATTTGATTTTTCATTGAAAGGGAACTTTTCTGAAGTATGAATCTGACATGCAACCATAGTACTCACTGATTGTTAATAATTCTTTGATGTAGGACCCGAAAATATGAAGATAGTCATGACTAAAACTTTGTCAGAAATTACGTTGACTGATCAGAATAAATTGTTCTTGGTCAAAGATGGGGCACTGCAGCCTCTTCTTCAGCTGCTCTTAAACAATGATGTGGAAATGAAGAAAGTGGCTGTTAAAGCTCTACTACAGCTCTCAAGCTTGCCAGAGAATGGCCTGCAGATGATAAAGGAAGGTGTTGCTCAACCATTATTTGAACTGCTATACTATCACAGTTTACAGACACCGACTTTACTTGAACATGTTGTTGCTACAATAATGCATCTTGCCATATCAACCACTCATCAACAAGCTGAAGCAGACCAAGTTTCATTGTTAGATTCTGAGGAAGACATATTCAAATTCTTCTCTCTAATTTCTTTGACTGAACCTGATATACAAAACAAGATTCTCAAAGCTTTTCAGTCATTGTGCCAATCTTTCTCTGGCTTCCGAATCAGAAAGAGGTTGAGACAGGTCTGCATTTTTCTACAAGTTTCAAAATTTAAGAAGTAAAAATTACATTTGAAGAAAATTGTTTAAGGCGACAAAGAGCTATATTTCTAGTCCTTGTTGGATATATATACTGAATATTTAGAACAAAATGAAGCTGTAATGTTAGATGATTAGGAAATTAGAGAGGAAAAGCAAGTGGAAAGAGATGAGAGGAGGAGAATAAAATAGGAAATATTTTAGTCCTCGAGTACATTAAAAATTCCTCTGTACTGAATTTCACTTATTAACTATGCTCATAATTTCAATGACTGTAACTATCTGAATTCTATCCCCTAAAAATATATAGTTAAGGTTAACAGTTAAGCATAACCCAAACATCCGTGTCTAAGATTTATTATTGCATTATTATAACAGATTATTTCATTCAAGGAAAATACTAAGGCACTAGTTAAGGAATAAAAATAAAAAATATTTTGTTGGAAAAGATATAAATGCACCTACCTCCATGTTTGGTAATGCATTTGAACATGAAATCCAAGAAAAATTAACTATTTATTGATTCATTAACTAGTGCCCTTAGGACACTGGTTAGCAAGACCCCACTTTCAAAATAGCAATCTCAAATAATAACAATAATATATGTATTATTATCATCCAATACATACAAATGATTTCATTGTTATAATTTTGCAGATCTCAGCTGCTAAAGTATTGGTCCACTACTTGGAGCTTAATACCCAAACACTGCGGGTCAATGCCTTGAAGCTTTTCTATTGCTTAACAGAAGATAGTGATTATGACAACATCTCATCGCACATAACTGAAAGATTCATTAAAGTATTGCTTACGATCATTGAGGTTTCGGATGATGCAGAAGAGATGGTTACGGCTATGGGTATCATCTCTAAACTACCGCAGGAGTCTTACATGACTCAATGGCTTCTAGATTCAGGAGCACTTAAAATTATTTTAACATGTCTTACTGATCAACATAAGCATGCCTTACACAAAAAGCAAGTCATAGAGAATTCTGTTCAAGCTCTTTGTCGTTTCACTGTCTCAACCAATCTGGAGTGGCAAAAGAGAGTAGCTGAAGAAGGGATAATTCCAGTGCTGGTGCAATTGCTGTCTTCTGGAACACCCTTTTCAAAACAAAATGCAGCCATTTCAATCAAACAGTTTTCAGAAAATTCATATGGCTTGAGCAAGCCAATAAAGAAGAAACCAAGTATTTTCAAATGCTGCCTTATAACCCAAGAAACTGGCTGCCCAGCACACCTAGGAACGTGCACAGTTGAGTCTTCATTCTGCATTGTACAAGCTAATGCCTTGGAGCCCCTTGTAAGAATGCTAGCAGAGCAAGATGTTGGAACATGTGAAGCTTCCTTAGATGCACTATTAACTTTGCTTGACAATGAAGCACCACAGAGTGGAAGTAAGGTACTTGCAGATGCAAATGCTATTACACCAATGATAAAACAACTGATTCTTCCAGCTCCCAGGTTGCAGGAAAAGATTCTAATAGCTATAGAACGAATTTTTCAACTAGATGAAGTGAGAAATAAGTATAAAGCTTTCGCCACAATGCCTTTGGTAGAAATAACTCAAGGAAAAGATGGCCGTTTGAGAAGTCTTGCTGCCAAAGGTCTTGCTCAATTGGGTGTACTTGATAAACAGTCTTCTTATTTTTAGTCACTGTCCCACAATTATTTGGTTGTTTGTGTTTTTTGGAGTCACTGTGGTCCTAATATGTGAAAGGCTTGTAAGAACTGAACTTAGTCATAAGATTTCTTCCTCTATACGGTTTCTAAACATTGATTCGTGACCAGCACCATGCATTAGATTGAAGAGAGTCAATTGGCTTTCGGAGTTACGTCACAACAATAGGATGTCAATCCTTGATCTAAAAATATTGCATCCAATGCAATAATTTAACATAAGAATTTATTTAAAATTTTTATTAGATATTGTAACACATCAACACATTAAATTTCATTGAATTTTATAATTTTTAATAAAAAATGATTATATAAAAAAAATATTATCATGTGATTTTTTTTTTTTGTTCACTAATGTAAGAAATTTTGTTTTTATTTATTTTTATATTTAAAATATTAAAATAATATTGATTATGATAATTTTATTTTTGTTTTATTAAAATATTAATATTTTACACACTTATCATAAATAAATAAAAATGAATGTCATATTAGAAAGTCAAAGATATTTTAATGTAAACATTGTATATTATTCTGCAAAATATACAAAATAAAAAGGGAATAAATCTTATTTCATATTTAATGAGTCACATTAATTTTTTAGTGAACCTTGCACGAATTTTTTTCAATAATAAAAAAATAATAAATATCAAAATATGTATTGTTTATTACGTTGTTGCTAATTGAATACAAATAACTAATATAACGGGAGATTGAATCTAGGAGAGAAGGTAGATTCTATTCTATAAAGTGATGAATCAGAGTTTATCCTATACCCTACTTAATGATTACAAGTAATAACATCATTAATACTATTTTATGTATATATATTTAAGAATTTTAAAAAATAAACCACAGCGGTATATACAGAAATCGTAGGTCTTAGCTCACACACTCTTTTTTTGTCATTAGCCCACAAAAGCTAATTGTCTTGAAAATGTATATTGGGCCAAGCGTGGATGGTCCATATGCAGAAACACCTGCGAGAGCTGTGCTACTCCTTTGCGTATGCATCTTTCATCTCTCTCTCTCTCTCTCTCTCTCTCTCTACAATTTCACTGTCACACACACAGATTTACTCCGAAGCTGAACGCTGCAGAAAATGTTCAAAAAGTAAGCTCACTCACTCTAAATACACATCTGCAAAATCTCACTTTCGTAGATTATGATGTGATTCACCAGTTACTTTTTTTTTTTGTTTAAATATATTGTCAGAATTTTGTTAACAATTGCACCATTGCTGGTGTTGACGATGCTGAAACCCTAAAACATTCATTTCATTTCGTATCGGATTCCCATGCCCTCTTTTTCTTGCACTACTTTCCCTAACTACTCGATATTTCTATGAACAAATGTGTTGCATGCTCTATTTCATTGATACGAATATGATATTATTGATAATGTTGTTTTTTCAATATGTATGTTTAGATTTACAATGTTAATTTTTTTTCGCCAGATTTTCATCTGAAGATGTGTCTGCACAGAACCAAGTGAAGGCTTCTGTTCAACGAAAAATACGGCAAAGTATTGCAGAAGAGGTGACTTCACTTTTGGGTTTGGCTAAATTTCAAAGCTTAAATTACAAAATTGATTTTTGATGCGTGTGACACTAACCTCACTCACTCTGTTGCAGTATCCAGGTCTTGAGCCAGTGTTGGATGATATACTTCCTAAGAAGTCCCCTCTTATAGTTGCTAAATGGTTTGATTGTGATCCTTTTTGCTGTGCTTTTTGTCGCGTCATGACTCTTATGGTTGCTAACTGGTTGCTTTTTCCCTTGTTCTTGTAGTCAGAACCATCTCAATCTGGTTCTAGTGAACAACGTGCCTTTGTTTTTTAGTGTCCGTGATGGACCATACATGCCCACTTTGCGGCTTCTCCATCAATGTAAAGTTTATGTTTGTTGCAGTTTTTAACTTGTCTAATGAATTATAACTGTTTCACCGGATTTTTGGCTGTAATTTGAACACATACCTTTAATAGTCCAATGATGCATATGTACCGAATAAACTGCTATACGATGCAGCTGATTTGGGGTTCAACTTATGATAATAAGGATATCTAAATGCATTATAAGGAAAAATTATAGTTGAAATACATTTTGCTTGGTGCAACCAATGATTGGATGAGATAGATGAACTTTTCTAGATACTGGTGCACAGAGCTTAAATAAACATTTTGATTAATTGGATTATAATTCTTCATCTATATAGTTTCCTTCCAAAGGCTATGAAGTGGGGGGGAACCAAAGTTTTGATTGCTATGATTATCATGACTCATAGGCAATTGACCTTGGAATTTTTCTTTCCATCTTTCTCTCGAGCTTGGTGATGGATATTTGATGGTGAGGTCAGTGGTGGACGTTCTATTACAACAATAAGTCAGGAACTTATTCATTGATGTGGTTTATTGACTCATTTAATGCTTATGATGTTGTATTGTTCCACAATTCAGATCATGTTGAGTGGTAGGGGCTGTAGGATGCTTAGAATTACACTAACAGTTTAGCTAGTTATCTTGGACAAGAGAATGTAAAGAATAAATGGTTCTTCATCTTTTGATGATCTGATAATCACTTGTTATATTCTACTGATCCCTTGAGAATTGAGAAAAATTTCCTTGAACTTGTCCTCCTATTTTTACCTACAGTATGGAGGTTATTGATATGGAATAGAATAGATGAAGGAGAAAAAGTGTAAATTTGGAGAAAGGGAGTGATGGAACTTAGAGGGAGGGTTGTAACCCGTCTCTCGCTTTTCTCACATCTCTCCTCATATTGAAATGCAGGGAGTGATTAATAATTTATTAATGATTTTTCTAATGTGTATTCAACGGCACAAAATGAGAAATCAATAAATAATAATTTTTGTTTGAAAATTGTAGATTTAATGTATCAATGCATTGGATCCTATGATTTCGAATAAAAACTTACTATATATAAGTTCTTAGTATGTGCCTAAGGCATACATTAGAAAAAAAAAGTTATCAATTATCACTCACTCCTAATACTTTGACCAACAAAAAATAAAGCTTATTTGGAGTTTCTAACAAGACAACATGCAAATTGCAATTGGTTGTTTTTTATATTGCATGTGAAACATATTGTTTTTTTAATTTTACAGATCCAAATATAATGAAGAAGTTACAAGTTGACCGTGGTGCAATAAAGTTTGTCTTGGCGGGTGCAAACATAATGTGTCCTGGTCTTACATCTCCTGGGGGTGCTTTAGATGAGGAAGTAGGAGCAGAAAGTCCTGTGGTACTGCCATTATATTCTGTATATTGATTGTAATGCACAATGTTAGCGATTTTAGTGAAGTTATAATAACTTTCATCACATCATTATTTATCTGATTTCAGGCCATCATGGCTGAAGGAAAACAGCACGCCCTTGCTATTGGCTTTACAAAAATGTCAGCAAAAGACATGTAAGAAACTTATCTTATTGTTTGACTGGACAAAGAATGTTGAATGAAATAAATATGAATTCTTTCACTTTCATATAGAGACTCTGTCTGATATTCCCTTTTTTATTATTTAATTCTCTGCTTACATTCAAGTAGGGATGTGATTGGGTTTGGTTGGGTTGAGGGGAAAATAGGACAAACTGATTAAAAAGCTTTAGTTTGAGTCAGTTCAGACTTGATAAAATTTTTAGGAGAACCCAACTCAAACCAACCAGATCAAATTCAGGTTAGTTTGTGTCTGGACATTGGGTTGGAATATTTTAGTATTTATAAATTTCAGAAATATAAGAAAAGAAGAAAGAAACAAGATCTGCAGATTGGAAAATACAGCAAACTCACCCTCACATGAACACAATACCCCATCGTCCCATCGGCTGTACTCTGATACCAGTTCACATTGCTTCACCCCTTGCACTGTGCCAAACAAGACAGGTGCACTCCATTGCAAGCCTAAGACAGGTGCTTCTAAAGCTCCCCACACCTAGCACCATCAAGCCAGTAACTTTGCAAAACAACTCAGCAATGCTGCTCCCTTGTCTAATAGCAATCACTCATTTTAACATACTACTCAAACCCCTTCTATTTGCTACCTCTGCAGCTGACCATATAGCCACCAACATCAGCTCATTCATATGAACTGCTTATCATCAATGTGAGGTGTGAGCTACGGTGGTTGATTGGCAAAGGCAATCAGATCATCAATGAGAAAGTAGAATAATCAGATTGGGAATACATTCAATTTGAGTGAGACAGGCATATTTAGATATCAGGCTTTACAAGTTTCAAGTTGATTAATTAACCTGACCTAAGTGGGGTTTATATTCTTGTTAATGTTAACAAACTGAATACCCAATCTAGTCTGACTTTTTAATATAGGTTTGGTTTGGGTCCCCTGAGTTCACAGGTCAACGGGAACCTGCTCATACCATCCTCTTAAGAGAAAAATTGATATAAATCATTTGTCTTTGTCATATCTCTCATTATCAGCCCACAACCTCTCATGTGCAATCCGGAGGAGACCTACATGTTAAAGTGGGGGTGCTACCACATCCCCAAACAATTTTTTAGTTGGTTGCTATGTATAAATTTTAGCAGGCCCCCTCAAATAATGTTTACGTGAGAATGTATTTAGCACCTCCCACATTTAGTTCTGCCCATGTGCAATAGTGGATATAGCATTAGCATGTCAACTAGTGAGTACATAATGAATTCCTTTTTACTTACCAAAATTGATGAGTCTTCTATTTGTTGGCACATGATAAAACTTCCTCTTGTTATTAGAATTAAGCAAATTACAGGGATGATCCCCAAGTACAAGTAGCGAAAAGAAAACAATAGCAAGCAATCAACACAAATGATGATCCTATCCTGTGACAGCAGCCACCCTGATTACTTCCAAAAATCCTCCTATCCCCTCTCCTCCTTTCAGCCCCTCTAATATCCCTTCCCGGGCTAGATTCTCGAATCTTTCTCCTCTCTCTTTTCTTGACACGTATGCAGTTTGTTAAGGCCCTGCTTAACCGTTTTCATTCCAACATTCCCTGTTTTGCTTCCTTTGCTGATATGTCTTCAGTGGAGGCCCTTTTTGTCCAGGCCCATCAGCACGTTACACAACTTTCCCATTAATGATATTTAGAATTAGGACAGAATGTTACGACATGAAGGACAAACTTATATATATATACGGTGTGTAACTAGCCCTAGCTCAACTAAAAATTACTGCCTCTAATATCAATGCTGCTTGCATCAATGCTATAGCCTGTTTTTCTATCAAAGGATAAAATTTAAGACTATTGCTAAATAAGAAAAGTCATCACTTGCCTAGTTTAATTTTCTTTGGTTGATTCTTGTACTCATGAAGTTCAATTACTTTTGTGGTTTCAGAAAAGCAATCAACAAGGGAATTGGAGTTGACAACTTACATTATCTCAATGATGGTCTTTGGAAGGTATTGTTGATAGATGCTTTCCTTATTATTCATATCATTGTTAGTAAATAAATATATATGGTGCTCATAGAATCATATGTACGTTCTTTGATGTAGTACCTGCGACATTACTTTGACATTTCTTCTTTCTTTCTTTTGTTGATACTATATCACATGTTGGTCTTTAACTTAGAAGACCAAATCTAGTTTCTAAGGCAAAACTTTTTTCCACCTGAATTCTGCACCCTTCACCGACTGCTTGATATATTTTCCACTGATTTCTAGTATATTACCATTATCTTTCTATACCTCATTGCAGATGGAGCGACTTGATTGAAGATATTGCAAGAGTTGCAACCTGATAATGATTGATGAATTCCTGTTTTCTGGACCTTGATCCAGATTTTAGAGATCATATTCGAACTTGCTGATCTATTATACCCATGTAAACAGTAAAGAAATGAATTTTCTTGCACAGAGTGCTCTCTTTTAGTAACTATGTAGATTTCATGTAACTTGTGGAATACATTGTGCGTGTCAACAAATACAAAGTTTTGTTTATTTCCGGACTCCAATTGAATGTTGGAACCATGCACGTTAGTTTATTCAAACTTTGGTGTGCCATTTGATCATTTTGGCCTATTACAGAATTGTCTGAAGACCCTCAAACGATTGGAACTGATTTAAAGTACCTGTTTGATTGGATTAAAAATTGGCCGGTTGGAAAATTATAGACTTAATTGCATTTATGCAGAGTCATTTTCAATTTCTTGTTTTCCGCTTTTTTCACTCCAATCTAGCGTTTCCTACATGGCTCTGTCTAGAAGCAACCGTAATCTTCCATGATTGTTCAAAGGGTATAGAAAACACATCAGTCTTATCATCCTACGCTTTTGATAGTGCTATAATTAGGTTTAAATATATTTTTAATTTCCCTAAGTTTTGTAATTGTTTTGGTCCCTCTTTTTCAGAATTGTATCAGTTCGTAAAAATTTTATTTTATCATCACGAATGATCCTGGAGTTACACTATCGTTAGATGTTGCTGTTAACTACTTGAGTTGATGTTGACATGGAGCAAAATTTTCTGTATGCCATTGAAGGTGGCCAGTCCAACAGGTCCACTTGGATCATTAACATGATGTGGAATTTTTGTTAGTGACGAGTCAGCATTTCTCACATGCCAGCCATATTACGGTTTGTCACACTTTTTATCACAATAGTGTTGATGCCAGCCACTAACCCCATCCATCCTTAATTAAATCCCCATCTACGACCCATTGCAACTCCAATTTTATTCCCATTCTAATAATGCCATATCAATTTCAGCTATGATAAGGCCACCTAATTGACAAAAGGCAAGATCAAATTACAATACAAGAGAAGAATCTGGGAAGAATAAAATATTGGAAGGTTGATTCATAAAATGTCAAAAATGCTACTCAAACAAGGAAATCCTGAAAGGAAACATTCTCCTATTGACAATATACAGCATCGATGACAATGCAATAACTGAAAAACCAGCAGTTGAAAAACCTCTCCATTGATCTCATTGCCGCAGAGATGGCAAAGGCCAATTATCTGAAAACAAGGCTTTTCCACAAATTCTAAACCTCCATTCCAAGCCTAGCAATTACTTATCATCATGAGCATATAATTACAGTAATGGATGCATTTGGTTGTCTTAAAACCACGTACACAAAACAAAATACTTAATGTAGCTAAATGAAGAATCTTTTGGTGATTATTGAACAGGGCAACCCTTAGCAGTAGGGCAAGAAGCCAAGGGGCACCCTTCAATATTATTTCCCCACCAGTTGAGACTAATGTTGTTGGCACCCAAAGTAAGAAAGAGTAAGATTGTCATGAAGGCAGTTCCAGCATCAAGACCACCAGACAATACATAATTGTACCGTTTCCACCATTCTTGTCTATATCTATATACAACAAACCCTGAGACAAAACCAACAGTTATACAACTGGTGAAGTTTACTGCTGTTGCTGGGGGCATAGTTGCCGTAGCACCCAACAAGATAGGCATGTGAATTAGAGCTATCCATTTTTGGCCTGGGAATGCCTTGTGAGCAAGCCAAACCAGAATGGGTGCAATGGCTCCACAAAGGAAGAACAAATTCACATTGGCATATTCACCAAGGTCTCCAAAGATTCTGCGTGGTCCAAGAAGACCCCATATTACAGATGCATCATAGAACACATTGTCCATTGGGCAAGTCCAAGGGCTATCAGATGCAAGTTTGGTAGTATCACAAAGGTGAGGGATAGTCCCCATCAACCACCATGCAGTTAATGTGTATACAAGTACTGATATGATTGTTCCTACCACCTACATATAATGCAGCCACATTTAGTTTCATTATAAATAACTGCTAATATGTGTTCTAATCTTATAGTTCAATAAAGGAATCATAACTGACCTGTGCCATGAACATTGTTCTTGGTGGAATTTTCATGTAGTGTCCAAGTTTAAAGTCTTGCAAAAAGGTTAGTGCTTGAGTTATGCTGATGTATCCATACACTTTAAAGCACATATTAGCCACAGGGCGCTCTGGATACATGTAACCAATTATGTATTCTGTTATAATGTTTAAACCGGGTGGCTGTTACAAAGAAATAGATGAGATCTTAGAGAATTCTCCTCAGCACCAATGTAAAATTAGAAAACTCTTTTAAGTGAATTGTTAGTATACCTGATTTGTAGTGGCTGCTATTATACCAATAGGAAGAGTGAAAGAAATGGAAATTGCACTAGCTAGCAATACACCCCACCATGGTAACTGAAGCGATTCCTTGTAGTACTCACAAATAAATATAACAAGAGCAAGGTTCAGCACGAGAATAATGTGAAACCACCACATGGGGACTGATCTGTACCTCTGCATTAGTCTTGTGTGTATGTCAGTTTTTTTACCGTCTCCAAAGGCCCTTTTACTTTGATTCCATATTTCACTGCAAAGTGCATTAGTGTAAACAAAAATAAAAATTTGAAGGACATAACAAATTTTCAAAAATAAAATTTGGAATATTATGACGACTATGCTAGACATCCATGTTACATAATAAGAATAACATTTTCCCATAGTTGAATATAAGAAGTTGTAGTTGCAGGATGTAAGAGTATGGCAATTTAATGCAATCTTCAATAAAAGAAGAACTGAATAAGGTCACTGATAATATGAGTATATGGAAATTCAGTTTAGAGCAGAACAAGTTTCTGCTGGAAAGAGAATACAGCTTGTACAAGTTCAACCATGTATCTGAACGAAAAAATGCTTGAAGTTGAAAATGTTCGAGAAATTCAGAATGAAGTTTATTCAAGGGCCACAGAAAATAAAACTTAAAAAGGGGAAGGGGGGAAATATAATATTTAATTTCCTAAAACATGTCACATTGATGACAAAATCAGATGATTCACATAGTGGCTAGCTACCTTCCATGAAAAAGCACAACATGCACAATAGTAGCAGACAATGTTGCAAATCCGAGGCCATAAGTCATTGCAAAGAATGTACTGAGATGTACAGGCCCGTTCTTATTGTAAGCATTCCGATCAAGATGAAAATTAGAGTCAACAATGGTTGAAATGTCATAAAGTGAACCATTTCCCATAAACAGCTTACTTGAAAATATGGGAAAATTCTTGGCACCATAGACATTTAACCAGTAAGCAGTTGGTGTCATCACATACATAACAAGAACAAATCCAACAGCAACATTAGCAGTTGCAAACCATGGACTGGCTAGTGGACTGCCGAGGTATGAAGAAATTGTAGACCAATCAAATCCAAATGCAGCAATGCCAAGACCCTTCATGCCAGAACCAAGTTGTTGAACTAGGATAGACTTGGGGGCAATCCAACATAGCGAAGAAAAAGATGTCAACATTGAAAACAGGTAGCTTGGAAAGACATGGTAAGCCAACCCAGTGATCAAGACAAGGAGAAAAAATTGAGCACGTGTTGTGCCTCCTTTAGGCTTTTTGTCTTTCTCATGTAAAGCACTGCATTAATATATTTACTTAGCATAGTTACAATCTTGAAGAAGCTACTAATTAACAAATCAAAAAAATAGAAATGACCTGAATAATGAGACCTGGACCAGATTAGATGGCCACCACATTTCCCCTGGCTCAACCAGAAATTTCCTGAACATTCCTGCCCATCCAAATCCCAGCACCTAAAATTGAATAATGAAGCACAACTTAAGATAATATTCTACATTTTACTTAAGCTATTTATGATAGTCATTTCTGAATAGTCTTTGGGGAGTTGAAATAAATGACTCTATCAAAATTTAGACGGATAAGAATAAAGATAATCCATTCTGACCTGCCTTATGAATATCCCACTAAAAAGCCCACCTCATTAGTGGATCATCCCTTGAACCAACAAAGACAAAATTCTGGAAGAGTAACAAATCCCTTATTACATGGACCTTATGACTGAATAGAAACACAATTATTTCGGATTTGATTTCTTTAAAATGGAAGTACATTTTAGCAGCTATTAAAATGTCAAGTTATAATCATTGATTAGAAAACCAAGGGTTAAAATTTTAAACAATTTCATAACTCTTGATTTTTCATTCAGGCAGTTAAAACTTCACATTCACTGTATACTTTACCCTTTAAACTATAACTCCCACTTTAAATGAGAAAATCTAAGTTTTTAATCATTTTGTTAACAAATGTCAGATTTTCAAATTTCTCCTCGAAGTTTTTGCAATTTTAGCAAGATTAGCTAGACTTGTTTTCTTCCCCTGATTCATGATTCTTTAATCCCATGGATTCTGATTACATTACCATTCAGCTAAGAATATGAAAGATTCTTGAAGCACGAGTCAACAAGCTTCGAGGCTAAACAAGAAATGGAGATAGAAGATAACCTGAGTAGTTAACATGAGTAATAAGGCAGGAAGAAAACTCAATTCTCTTTTATACATGAGCTTCACTGCACTCAAAATATGAGTAGCAGAAACAGTTCCAGCACCAGAATTGGCAAAAATGGTAATCAAAACATGCTCTTTGATATTGAATGGCCCCCTATTGAGTGAGAATTCAAGGTTTGTATCCTTGAAAAAGACACGAGTTGGCAACATTCTTGCCATGAAATGACCAATAGGAACCACAGCAATCTGAGCAGAAATAGAGGTGACAAACAAAGGTTGTGTTCTGTACCAAAAGAACTGATTAACAAAGGACAACAACACACATGAAACAATGCCCAAAACCCACATTCTGAATGTCAGAATATGCATTGTGGGGTCATCTGTTTTAGGCACTGTGAGTTCCACTTGTTTCACTATGCACTCTTCATTCTCATTCTCATTCTCTGAGGCACTCTTGCATCCCTCAACTTCAAAAATGGAAGCCATGGTAAAAGTATCCTTTGTTGCACAAAACAATGTCAAATAAAGAACATGTCATTGTCAGATCTTAGCATTGTCGTGCATGCATGGACGAAAGCAAAGAAAGAGACCGATATGAATTCATGTGTATTAATTATTATTATTATATTTTGCTACACACCAAAAGACAGTACGAGGAATTACTATGATTTTGAGAACAAATGAATGGCTACAAACTCAGCAAAAGAAGTTTGCTCTATTAAATCAATAACCTTTTTAATTTGCGGATGGTTGAGAGATACAAAAAATTAATTTGAAATTATTTCATAACATTTCTACCA